AAGAGAATTATCAAAGGGAGAAACACTCGCTCACTGGAATGCCTCCAAAGAAGTCGGTATTATCTCCGTAATGACCTATCGAACTGCCCTAGATTCCCACACGAGATGATTATGTTTTATTATTATTATTTTTCGAAACAATTTCTGAATAGATATTTCTTTGTCTTATTTAAAACATAGAATATATGTCAAAAAAGTATACAGGATGTAATATAAAAATTCGAGACTGTGTGAGCGCAGATTATTTTATTAAACAAAATATTGTTCAAAAGGTAAAAAAATTAATTTTGTCAAAGATAGAAATAACTTTGTTTTTTTTTTGTATTAATATAAATAATTTGGATTTGTATTAATATAAATAATTTGGATGATTTTTTTCATGATTATTATAATTATATGGTTTAATCAAATCTTTCAATTATTTTTTCCAGCAATCTTAAATGTTGAAACGTAACTGTTCTGAGATATTATATTTTGTTAATTTAAAATATTTTCAGAGAGTCATAGAGTATTTTTCGAAAAACTTATTTTTACGTTTTTCTATGAGCGATTATTTTGTGCATAAATAGTTTTGTACAAATCTCCAACAAAATGAATTTGGTTGAATTTTTTTAAACTCTTCTTTTAATCTATATAAATGCTAAAATCAAATTATTTAGCTAGTCAAAATGATGCAAGAATGCATTTATACTATATATAGAATATGCAGAATGTGTGTCAGATTATTAAATCCAAATTGATTGTATTTTAAATCATCAGAGAATTTGTAAGTAAAAAGTGGCCTAGAATAACTATTGGTATTTATTATTCGTTTCTACTTAATATCTACTTAAATAAATGCATTGCTCGCTCTATTAGATATTGGAACAATAGAGCTCGATAGTTTGCGTATTGAAATAATGAGGAATTTCCATCGTGCGCACGAATCGAGTTGCCGACAGCTACCAGCGCTAGATTTAATTTCGCGATTTCGATCAATTTCGGCTGATGCGGGCGTGTTCGGCTCGGACGGAGAACTTAAACTCGACGGCAGAAACTGAAACTTATTCTCCGGCACCGTGGCCGAACGTGGTTCAATAACCTCGCGTGCCACGACCCGAAATTGCGAATAGGAGAGGTACATAAGCGAATGGGAGATCGCGATAGCGCAGCAGGAGCTACGAAATATTGAGCCGCCCCCGGTGCTTTCGCGGGGGTTGGTACGACGCCCGTACGATCGATCACCTGTGCCCGTTAAAATAGACCACCACCCTCCTTCTCTACGTCACCACCGTGTCCTTGAGAATTCACCCCTCGTACGACCTCCGCTCGTACGTCTAAATATAACATGAGGACCCTTAATGATTCCTCATAATTTCCCCTCTCTCAATCCTCCATGCAGTTCCCATACAATATCCGGAACACTTGAAGATGCACCACACGTGTACGTGCTTAGGAAAAAAATTACACGAGTTTTTCACTAGTCAACTTGTCGCATTCGAAGCGGTGACGAATGTAATCGATTGAAGAATTGCAACATAAGGAGAGAGAGAGAGAGAGAGAGAGAGAGAGAGAGCAGCTATTTAATTTTTTTTTTAAATTTAGT